CCCCCTACTATACTGACGGTCACGTTTTCTGCTAGGTATCGACAATGTTAGAAAAGGAGCACCTACATAAATATATATATATATAGTATTTAGGCCTTCATATCAAAATCTGCCAACAGTATGAATTTTATGGTCCTTATTTAACTAATGTAAATTTGCCCCACCATACCCCCAGCGAAGCCAGAGAGTGCACACTACATACGGCACATAAAACCAACTGGGCAGCTGTTTGATAATCTTTCTTCAACATGGAAGACATCGAAATAGAGAGAAAGAAGACTCGGCTCTGAATATATGTGCTGTATTACCTGTTTTACCCGTCCTGCGCAACAACGCCATTGCACACCAGACAAGTCCACAAGTGCTCAGTTCCTCTCAGCACCAAAGCCCGCAAGGAATCCGTACGAATTATTCAAGTGGCTGTTTGATTATGGCGAATGACTTCCTTCCATTCCAGATATTCATTCTTTTCTTCCTTCTCCCCTCTCTATCCCTATTTCCCGCATCCTGATGAAAGCGTTGCGTTCTGCTGTCTCCCTGTCTTCCTCATCCCGCAACTTTTCCTCCATAGTCTTCAACACTTCTCCTTTTCCAATTTCACCTCACTATCAACCACGGCAATGCCTGGCAGCCTATCAGTCTGCTCATTGCCTTTCACCCCAGAGTGCCCAGGACATAATATATGTGCATATAGTATCTCTCTCTGTCTCTCTCTCTCTCTCTCTATAGATAGATAGATAGATATCCAACAAAAAGACACTTCTCAAACACAGATCACACAGCAGAATCATGTCCCTAGATGTTGGGCAGTTGGGGGGCTATGTAACAGAGGAACCCTGTCAAACCGCCAGCCCCATTATTCTGCTAACTTCATGCTCACACTCGAGGGTGGTGGTGTCACCAGGCTTGACAGTACATCAAATACTCCATACTGATATGGACTAGCAAAGAATGATGGGACTGGAAAAACATGTAAGGCATCGTGGTGAAATCAAGCGCTCGTCATAATAATGAAATCAAAGAAAAAGGCTTTTTTCCAACAGTTTGGTAATTTTTATGGAAATTTTGTTTTTTCGGCTAAACACCTTTTATGTACACATGAAACACATTTCCATGCGAATTTTACTGAAAAACCTTGAATAAAGGCACAAAATGTGTAATTTTCAGTTTTCAAGGACTCGCTTATGCTATTGAAGTTATGAAACGTTGGCGGCTATTTTACCACCTTCTTCAATCGCAAATACCTTGACTTCTATTTAAGCTAGAGATGGATATAATTTTCATTGAGAGCAAGACAAATGAATAAGCTTTCAGATGATACCAATAACTCCACATGCCTCAAAAGTGATGGGTGCCCAATTCTACCACCTCATGACACAAATTATATTCAAAGTTGTTGAGTAAAAAAATGATACCGCCAATTGATTTACAGTGAACTTAGCTATCTTGGGTAATTCTGTACTCAAGCACAAGTTCAGAGAGATGAGAAACAAACAGGAAGAAGCTTATTGTGGAAAGGTTCAACAATGTAACTTCACCACAGTTCAAAAGTATTTACAACATACACAATATGAAAACATGATCTTCCAAATGAATGCACATTGATTTGTAATTGCAACAGAAACATTTTCTTAGTATGATCTGACACAATTCACATTTAACATTTAATTGAGTAGGCACAGATTTGAAAAAAATCTATTTAACGTGTGGTTTGCTTACAATTCAAATGTTGTAAGTCCAGAAAGCAATATTTTCAGGAGAGAGAAAAATATGTTTTTTTTCTCCACATATTTACCCACTGTACAAATAAGATACTAAAAGATAAGTAAAGGCTTTATACTTTATTGGTAACATAAAATTACCTTGAGGCCTTTGTGATGCCTGACTAAGCACATTGTTCAATCTCCTTTTGACACTGATGAAATGCATTAAATCCCTTCGATTTGTGTGAAAATAAATAAAATATGCTGAATGATGAAAAAATGGAAATCATCTTATTTGGGAGTTAAAAAATATTAATTATGTAAATAGAAGCCATTCAGAAATGGAAGATACAAGTATAATTTTTTCCAGCAAAGCAAAGAATCTTGGTATCTATTTAAATTCAGATGTGTCCATGAACAAATAAGTAAATCATGTCATTCAATGTATGTACCTTGACCTCAGAAGAATCAATAACATAAGGCACCTTATTTCAACTGATATTGCACACATGCTCTCTGTCTCTCTCACCTTGTCAAAACTTGACTACTGCAATTCTGTACGGTCTGGTATCTCATGTGAGAGAAAGAGGCAATTGCAAGTGGCCAAAAATAACACCACAAGACTAGTATAGAAAAAATAGAGAGATCCTGCATTAAAAATGTTTAAAGCTCTGCACTGGCTTCTAGTTGAAAAAATAAGTAATCATTTTATCTACGTAAAGTGCTCAAAGCTTATAATTAGATATATGGGAAAGAGTGCTATTTAATGCAATGTATTATTAAATTAAATTTTTAAAAAAAATTCCATCCTAAATATAAAGCACAACAGCTGGGAAACACAGTCAAATTGAATTCCAAGTAGCAGAGATGAACTGTAGCCTTAAACTTAAACAAATATATATCATTTTTTCTTACTTGGAAAGGAGATGGGGTACTTGGTATTCATTGCTAAAAATTAATTTTTGTTCATCTTGATGTACCCTCATGTAAAATTGGAAAGCAACTCACAGTTTTATGGCTAATTGTTATATTAATATTCTGAAGGAAAGAATTCGACTGACTGCATGACAAATCACAAGGTAACTTATGGCAACTTGCTTAAATATTGATGGTTGGTAAACCTTATAAGGACTGAACATTAAACATAATAATAATATAGCAATTTAATGACAATTGTCAATACACTTCACACTATATAAAAGTTACAGAGTCCTTTATATTTTTCCCAACCGTAATTTAAAAGGCAGAAACTCTTCCATCGTTTCAAAGTAGTAAACATCTGGTTTCTGAAGCTGTACCCCATCTGGTATGATACTCCAAAGCATTTTTAATTCCTTACTTATCAGCTTTAAAGCATCTACTGGAATAGCTTTATACGTATATCCGAGGGTCATGTGAAACTCTGGTTTACCTCGCTCACCAAATACAGTAGTACATTTCTGTCTGAGCTGGGAAACTTCAGCATCTCCCTCAAGTGTAATCAATAACAGCAAAGCTTGACCTGGACTTGGGCCTAAACTGAATTGTTTCTTGACAAAAGCATTTGCGGCTGGCAATTCAGAGCAAAAAGTCTGGGCTTTTCCCAAATCTTGATATAAGGTTTCCATGCTTTGAGTCCAATGATTGGAAGGAACAAGGCCAGACCTTGAGAGATATTTCTCTGGAATTTTCCGCTGTGAAAATATATCATAATAGGTCACATGGTAAGACGATGAAGGTAAAGCAGAAACATACTTCTTGAGAGTTTGCGTGCTTTTGATGAAAAGTTCAAGATCATGCAGCTGCTGCTCTACCACCATGTTGATGATAGTGTAGCCGTAAAAGGGTAAGTACTTTCCAGTCGCATCAATTTTTTCAAAGTTCTCGAACTTTCCAGGACTCCTCACGACCAGTTTATCAAACACATCTGGAAGCAAAGTAGTACGAAAGGTATTATATAAAAAAAACGCACTGCAAAACTAGCAGAAACACATTCTCTTTTCAAATTTTAAAGAAACTCATTTAATTAAAGAAACAAAACAGAAAATAAATACAAAAGACAAAACAGACTGTCGCTTCAAAGAGGGCAAAATATTTAACAGGGTCAGAATTAACCTCTTTTGTCCTTAAAACCAAATGGAGCACAATTAAGGGGGTAGTGTAATGGATGATATCTAAAAATTTTTAAAGAGCAATAAGAGTACTGCCTGTCCACCTGGGTAGGTCATGACTAGGACCGTTAACTGTCTTTTGTTGAACCCAAAGAAACACTAAATCTTCTTCTGTACTTGAGCATTTTCTAAGACTTAGCACATCAGAAAGAAGTCTAAAGCCAGAACTTTTTCATATAAGGATGAAATAATGTAAACAAATCTAGCACTGAACATAAATTTAGCGATACCAAAAACCATATCAAATATAATATAAGTTAGCATATTATAAGTTTAGTAAGAAAGAACATTTTTGAATCAATGAAATCAAATATGAAAGATCGAATGCAATGGACGCTTCCACAGTTAAAAACATACCAGTAGATTCAGAATCCATCAGTTCTTCATCAGGAGACGCCATGTTGAGCTTGATATCAGCACCTAAAACAAAAAGTGTGGAGAGATTTATTGCTAAGATATTAAAAGCATCTTACGAGTCTAACATTGCATTGTTAAATCATGCCACTCAGTACAAGTATGTCATATTGAATAATATATGTACCATGATGTGTGTTAAATTAATTGTAATTTAAATTTCAACATACCACAAAAACTCTTATTGTGTAGGCCCTACTAATAAAAATTGCATTGTTTTGAAGCATTAAAATTAAGGCTGTTAGACTATTAGATTGCTTTTATCAATATACAGAAGGGAAACAATAAATCCTGGATTGTTGGTCCCTATATTAACGTGTTAAATTATGTCCCTGTAATTGTACTTTTATTTATCTACCCCACAGTTCGTGATTTAGCCCAAACTCAGTCGCCATATTTGATCCTCAACGCGGCGTACTGCTCGCGGCGCCGCGAAGAGAGAGAGGAGGCTCCATTAGTTCTAAACTCCTTGATCTACCCTCACAACAAAGATTGTCTGATCTTAGTGATCTTTACTCACTCCTCCTTCCTGTTTCAATCACATGTACTCATGTTCATTATAGATTTATTTAGTCTTGTCAGTGAAGCCAGAGAGGGCAGACCTCATATTATTTTCATCATTAAATTACCCTTCTTCATCTAGAAACGGAGTTTTTACTTTTGCTTTATTAAATACAATAATGGCAAACAACCCCAGTGCAACAAAGGCCCCCCCCCCTCTTTTTTCCTCAGATGTGATTCTAATGCCTTGAGATCATAGTCACAAGGCTAACTCAGCATAAGTGACACCACAAAGAATGTCAAAATACGTTATGATTAAACCGGCAGAAAGGATCGAGGGCATACAAATGTGAGGCATCGTTGTGAAACGAGGCACTCGTCAAAATACTGAAATGGGAGAAACTGGGCATTTTTTTGCTCGTTGGGCAATAATTTTATCGAATTTCTTTTTCAAGCTCTTCCTTTTATGTCAATTTGAAATACATATTTGTGAGAATTTTATACAAAAAGCTGATCAAAGACACAAATTACGTGAATTTGCAGTTTCCAAGGACTCATTAAGATTGGAATTTAGTCACTAGACTTGGGTGGCTATTCAAATTTCTCGTTCTGCCATCAGGCGACCAGCGCGATCCTTCAATTTTCAATATTTTGACCTCTATTCAAGATAAATGGGTTAAAGTTAAAAAATAGTTTTTCATCAAAAATTCTCACCAAAACCAAGACAAATTATCACAGGCCTTAAGACCAGTTTATACCAATGACTCCATATATACTGAAAGATTGATTCTACCTCGTCATAATCGCAATTTATGCCTGCAACTGTACTTTGTCTTGGTCTTACCTTGTCAGCCACTTACACATTTAATTGGGCCTAGGCAAGGCATTATATAAATTTACAGAGCACTGACATCTGCAAAGGGGATTGACTAAATCACTCGGCGTAAATCTGAGCTGGCGTTAATGAAAGAAAAGAGAAATCATGAAAACGATTCAAGCTTATGTGTTGAACGTTGAGCATTAATTAATACTCTATATTATCAGCTGACCGTATGATTTGGGGAAGGGGTATCAGTCAGGAAGACAAGACATCACTCAGAGAGTGTGATGCGTGCGCGGAAAGAATTAGCGCCGTGGAAGAGCGGGGGAACTTCGGGAATTGAATCCGTGTAAAGAGGCCAGAAACTGGGTGCTCCAGAACAGACAGACACGCTACGCGCGCGCGCGCACACATGCGTGAGTATGCGTGTTTGTGTTTTCGTGCGTGTGTGTGTGTTTTGTCTGTGTGTGTGTGTGTGTATGTGTGTGCGTGCGTGCGTGTGTAAGTGTGTTAGAGAGATCGAAAAAAAAGAGAGAGAACAATTGAGAGAGAGCGAGAGTAAGAGAGAGAGAGGACGATTCAGAGAGAGAGAGAGTCAAAG